TTAAGAGTTCGATATTTTTCTTAGCTTCCACATATGAGGGAGAACACACAATATTGACTTTCTCTGCCTGGCTTATTTCACTTAACATAATATCCTCCAGTTTCATCCATGTTGTTGCAAATGACAAGACTGAATTCTTTTTATGGCTGAATGATATTTCCATGTGTATACATACTATGTTTATCCATTCATCCACTGTTGGATACTTAGGTTGAGTCCATATTGTGGCTATCATGAATAGTACTGCGATAAACATGAGAGTGTAGATGTCTCTTCGATATACTGATTTCCTTTCTTTTGGATATATACCTAGCAGTGGGATTGTGGGACCACATGGTAGTTCTATTTTTAGTTTATTTATTACTTTTGAGGAACCTCTGTTCTGTTCTTCACAGTGGTTGTACTAATTTACTTTCCCACCAACAGTGTAAGAGGGTCCCTTTTCCCCACATTCTCACCAACATTCATTATTGCCTGTCTTTCTGATAAAAGCCATTTATCAGAAAGACAGGGGTGAGACATTTCCTTGTTTTTATTTGCATTTCTCTGATGAATAGTAATTTTTATATAGTTGTTGGCTATTTATATGTCTTCTTTTGAGAAATGTGTATTAAGATCTTTTGCCCATTTTTCAATCAGATTTTTTTTCCTATAACGTTGTTTGAGCTTCTCATATATTCCGGTTATTAAACCCTTGTCGGATAGTTTGCAGATATTTTCTCCCATTCTGTGGTGGTCTCTTCACTTTTTTTTCTGTTTTCTTTGCTGTGTAGAAACTTTAGCTTGATGTGATTCAATTTATCAATTTTTGCTATGGTTGCCTGTGCTTTTGAGACCTTACTCAAGAAATGTTTCCCAGACCAGTACACTCAAGTGTTTCTCCAATGTTTTCTTCTAGTAGTTTCATAGTTTCAGGTATTAAAGTATTTAATCCACTTCGACTTGATTTTTGTATATGGTGAGAGATAGGGGTCTAGATTAATTCTTCTACAAATGGACATCTAGTTTTCCAAGTACCATTTATTGAAGAGACTGTCCTTTCCCCAATGTATGTTCTTGATGCCTTTCTCAAAAATGATTTGACTGTAAGTGCATGACATTATTTCCGGGTGCTTTATTCTGTCCCACTGGTCCATATATCTGTTTTGATGCCAGTATCATGCTCTTTTGGTTACTATACTTACGTATTATATATATTATATATATAACCTAATATAGATTATATATATATACATTAGGTTATAATATTAGGTATTATAATTTGAAATCAGGTAATGTGATACCTCCAGCTTCCCCCACCACCCCCGCCTTTATCTATTTGGATTCTTTTGTGGTTTTACCTAAATTTTAGCATTATTTTTCCTATCTCTGTGAAGAATGTTATTGGCATTTTGATAGACATTGCATTGAATATGTAGATTACTTTGGGTAGTGTGGGCATTTAAAAAATATTGTTTCTTCCAATCCATGAATATAAAATATCTTTTCATTGTTTGTGTCCTCTTCAATTTCTTTCATCAATGTTTTATAGTTTTCATTATAGACATCTTTCACTTCTTTGGTTAAGTTTATACCTAGATATTTTGTTTTATTTGTAGCTATTATGAATGGGATCACTCTTTCATTTTCTATTTCAGAAATGCTACTCTTTTTATATGTTGATTTTGTATCCTGCAGCTTTACAGGATTGGTCAATTCTAAGTTTTTTTTTTTTTTTTTTTGGTTGAGTCTTTAGGGTTTTCTAAATGTTAAATCACATCATCTGCAAGCAAAAACAATTTGACTATTCCCTTTCCAATTTGGATGAAGGGGCCTAATAACTTTTTGTAAACATTGTTAACCAATGTTTTGTTCTCTGTTTTATGCCTCACCTTGAGAACTATGTAGCACTCTAACTTCTGAATATGTCTTGATTTTATAATAGGGATTAAATTTCTTCTTATTGGCTTTCCCATTGCAAATCTAGGTTTCAAGTTTATTAACTCCTCTATGTCTATTACTGTTTGTGTTTTCAAGATTCAGTTGACATCACTTCTCTCTTTCTTTTTGTGAGGCAATAACCCTGTTCCTTTTCTGGTCATTTCAGTTGAGGTTTGATAAGAAGTAATGGTACATTTTGTATATTTAATTCCTGTTCCACTTATTTTAATATAATATTTATTAATTTTTATTTATGTCTCAAATACAAGTAGGCTGCATTAATTATACAAAATATTCTGTTTTTAAACTTCAATTAATAGCATTTTTACAAAAGTCAATTATGGAAAGCATAGATGTCAAATGACTAAACTTAAGCTGAATATAAATATAAATTCTATAATCACCTCTGTACCATGAAATGGCTTTCTTGCACCATTGCCACCTAAAATAGCAGAAGAAAAAGGCTTACCGTCTCCTTTAATGTAACATGCTTGCTTTGGGTTTATGCTGTAAAGACATTGCTAACAACAGGCAAGTTACATGCAGTGCTGTTGCTGCTGGACTTGCCTCAAAGTAGTGAGAATACAAATGGCCTAGCAACTATGTCATGCCCATCTCTCCACTGGTCAGTGCAAGACAAGGGAAACTTGCTGAGTGAAGCCAGAATTTACTTTAGAGACCTTTATTAACTTGCTTTTCTTGTGAACTTGATTTTTCAACATGATAGTGAATCCATCCACTGAAAAGTAACATCATTTGGACATTTTCAGTCTTTTACCAAACAAGCTAAAATTTAAGTGAATTTGTATGAATTTGCAGATACTTGTTATTTGTTAGAGTATTTGTACATTGAGTTTGTGCTCATCATTATAAAATTATCATGAGGAATGGTTTTTGTACAGTCATATCTTGTACAACAACATTTTGGTCAGCGATGGGCTGCATATATAACGGTGGTCCCGTAAGACCAATAGAGCTGAAAAATTTCTGTCACCAAGTGACATCATAGCCTAATCTTATAGCATACTACATTACTCATGTGTTTATGGTGATGCCACTGTAAACAAACCTACTGTGCTGCCAATCATTTGAAAGTATAGTGCATACAATTATGTACAGCACATTATACTTTGTAATGGTAATAAATGACTGTTACTAGTTTATACTACGTAACTAGTAAATACTAGCATAGTATTTACTATACTATACATTTTATTGTTATTTTAGAGTTTTCTCCTCTACCTATAAAAAAAAGCTAACTGTAAAACGGCCTCAGGCAGCTCCTTCAGGAGGTATTGCAGAAGAAGGCATTATCATCATAGATAACACAGCTCCATGCATGTTATTGCCCCTGAAGACCTTCCAGCGGGACAAGATATGGAGGTGGAAGACATGATATTGATGACCCTGTTTCTATGTAGGCCTAGGCTAGTGTGTATGTATGTCTTAGTCTTTAACAAAGTTCAAAAAGTTAAAAAAAAAAGTTGTCTTAAAAAGAAGAAAGCTTATAGAATAAGGATATAAAGAAAATATTTTTGTACAGCTTTACAATGTATTTTGTATAAAATATCTTGCATGTGTTTCAGCTAAGGATTTCTATAAAAGAATCAAAATGTTTTTAAAAATTAAAAAGTTTATAAAGTAAAATTACAGCAAACTGAGGTTAATTTATCATTGAAGAAAGAAACTATTCTAAATAAATTTAGGGTAGCCTAAGCATACAGTATTTATAGTCTATTGTAGTGTAATGCCTGATGCCTTCATATTCACTCATCACTCACTCACTCACACAGAGCAACTTTCAGTCCCGCAAGCTGCATTCATGATAAGTGCCCTATACAGGTGTACCATTTTTAATCTTTTATACAATATTTTTATTGTACCTTTCCTATATTTAAATATGCTTAAATTCACAAATACTTATCGTTGTGCTAAAATTGCCTACAGCAGGGATTCCCAACCCCCTACGCCACAGACTGCCCTGTGACCTGTTAGAAACTGGGCTTTGCAAGCAAGGAAAGCTTCATCTGTATTTACAGGGGCTCTCCATCACCCACATTACTGCCTGAGCTCTGGCTCCTGTCAGATTAGTGACGGCATTAGAGTCCCATAGGAGAATGAACTCTATTGGGAATTGCACATGCGAGGGATCTAGGTTGCACACTCCTTGTGAGAATCTAATGCCTGATGATCTATCACTGTCTCCCATCACCCCCAGATGGGACCATTTAGTTGCATGAAAACAAGCTCAGGACTTCCACTGATTTTACATTATGGTGAGTTGTACAATTATTTTATTATATATTAGAATGTAATAATAATAGAGATAAAGCACACAATAAATGTAATACACTTGAATCATTCCAAAGCCATCGTCTCCACCCCCTGTCCATGGAAAAATTGTCTTCCAAGAAACTGGTCCCTGGTGCCAAAAAGAGTGGGGACCGCTGGCCCGTAGCATTCAGTATAGTAAAATGCTGTACAGGGTTGCAGTCAAGGAAAATTGACTATTCCATCTAGCATAGCTGTATAGTAAACTATACTATCTGGGTATGTACAAGTACACTCTATCATGTTCTCACATCTGCATTGCCTAAGAATGCATCTCTTCAAATTCTCACTGTGGTTAAGAGATGGATGACTGTTATTTTATTTTCCATTTCCAATCAGCTAGGAATCACGTTCCTGTAAGTACTTGATTGGATATTTTTGGTCGTTTGTTCACCAGTATAGCAGTCAGGCTTTTAAGAATAATAAATCCATAAATTAGATTAAATATTGGACCATGTTAATGGTTTGTGCTATCAGGAATGGAGACTTATTAGGAATAGTTTAGTGCATGCTGGAGGAAAGTCAGCGGGAAAAAAAGGCTAAAATAACACCTGTGAAGTAAGATGAAAGGGCCTAGAGCTATTTAGTCAGACATGAATTGTGATATAGTAACTGTCATGTATATGTATCAGAATATGACTGTTTGTCTTTGCTGAAATCTGAAAAGAAAAAGTTCAAGGGTAGTATAAGTGATGTATATTTAATACTGAGAAGAAGAGCCATGACAGTTGATGGACAGGACGTAAGAATGCTTATGATGGGAGACATGTCTTGGGAACAGAAAAAGCTTTAAATGTAGCAATATTCTCTGTCATGAAGGAAGACAAGACCTGTCTTAAGGCAGAGGGTTTACTAACTGGCTTCCAAAGGCCTTTCTAGAACTGTAATTCTGAGCCACTTCTGTTGCTGGCCTTCAGATGCTGAGATTGAACTAGGCACAGCCTAGTATCTGCTCTTTTAGGAGCTCTAGCAGTGCCGGAGGAGGCAGTGCCACCAGCAGCGACAACAGACAGCATCTGTTCCAACTGAAGACTTCACTCAAAGGTGAGTCGGGTCAGTGTGGACCTGGGCGCTTCCTTCTCCTCCGGCTCTCACTGGGTCCAGGCACAGAAGCCCTCAGGGATTGGCGACCACAGGACACCCTCCCCGGCTACCAATATAAGCTCTGACAGAGAGATGGCTGGTTAGCCGGTGCTAGAAGGGAAGGACTTGCCACGGAGACGGGCTCAGGGAGGGATGAGTTGCGCCACCACCACCTGGGTCCCTCTCTGGCTATCCGGCGGGGTAGCCTGGACCCAAGTGCTCCCGGGGTGCGCCTCGCACCAGCCAACCCGGAGCCGGCGTCCCGGTGCGCTCGGTCTCCCTTCAGCTCCGGCCCCCGCGGGAGGGCGCGTGGGATGCAGCGCGGGCCCCTGAGCCTTCCCCAAGCTCCAGCATCCGGAGCCGCCCTAGCGGGCACGGCGGCAGCCACAGCCTGGGAGAGAGAAAGGAAAGAGGGAGGGCGGCGGGAAAGGCTCGGCGTGGGAGGGGGGAAGGAGTGAGGGGGCAAGGAGTGAGGGGGCGGGAGCCTCTCCTCCGCGGGGCCGCTCACCTCCCTCCGGCGGGCGGCGACTCCGGGTTCCCCCTCGCGCCCTCTTGCCGCGTCTCGCCCCTTCCCCGCCCACCGTCCCTGCGGGCGCGGGCGGCGGCGGTGGGCGTGTGCGCGCGTGAAGGACGCCGCCTCTCTCTCGCTCCTGCGTTCGCAGGCGGCGGCGGGCGGCTTCTCGCTCGGGCAGCGGCGGCGGCGGCGGCGGCTTCCGGAGTCCCGCTGCGAAGATGCTCAAAGTCACGGTGCCCTCCTGTTCCTCCGCGTCCTGCTCTTCGGTCACCGCCAGCGCGGCCCCGGGGACCGCGAGCCTCGTCCCGGATTACTGGATCGACGGCTCCAACAGGGATGCGCTGAGCGATTTCTTCGAGGTGGAGTCGGAGCTGGGACGGTAAGGCGCGGGCTCCGGCGGGGGAAGCCCGCGGCGTGCATGGGGGGTTGTCCCTCTCGCGGCGTCGGCTCCGAGGGTGCGGGAGCCTGCCTGCCCGCCCTTCGATATTTCCCCGCCTAGTTAGTGTCCGGGGGAGAGCTAACCTTCATTCAGGTGCGGCTCCCTTCCCCACGACCCCACTCGAGCGCCTAGGCCCGTGTAGCTGTAGGATCGACTCCCTCCTACCCGCCCTCTTCCTCACAGGATGCCACTTCCTTTGGGTGACAGTTCCCACCGCACGTCGGCCCTGCTTTCCCAAGTGATGTCTTTGCTCACGGTTATAGCTTAACAGAGGGTCCTGTTTGTGTAGTTATTTTTTGGGGTGGGGGCCGGATGGTGCCCCTCCAAATCAAGACAGAATTATTAAATTGGATTCCTCCTTCTTCCCCTCATCAAGCTCTCCAAAGCGAGTGACACGAGAAATTAAACTTAAATACTATCTTCCCTGCAGAGTCTTCGCAGGAGTGAAGGGAGAAATGAATCATTTAAGATAGTTGAAGGCAGAATAATGAACTACTGTGGCTTTAAAGAGAAAGCAGCATTTGGGATCCAGGCAGTGGTAATTAGTGAGAATGCTGCTGCTTCTGTTCTTCCATGGATTGGAGTGATTTATTTAAATGATATATGCAACAGACCATCTCCTTAGGATTGCAGATATGTCCCTTATCTATCCCTCCTCTGAATAGCCAAACAGGTAGCAGTTTGGCCTTCTGAATGATTCTATATGTTCTCGTATTTTTATCCATTGAAAATTATGTTTTTCTTTCCCTTCCTTTTATTCGTCTTTTCTTTCTGCTATCCATAGGTAAGGAGACTTGCTTTCAATACTTATTTTAGATCCAGGATCTTTGGTATAGGGAATTTCAACGGTTGACAACTTACAGTTTCTGTACTTACTACTTTGCAATTTCATTTTCCATTCTCTTTTTGCTGGAACTAGTTTTGCTCACAGCCTTTTTATTTTTTTCAAGCCTTTGGAGGATCCAGAGCAGGATTCTGGATGTTGGTACTTAGTGGGAAGATGTAATTATCACTGCTCACTCTCCCCGCGATTTGCTACTACTATTGAAGGCTCATTGAATATAGAAGATGTGTAAAAAAGACAAACTTCTGAATGAGAATTCAGTGATTTGTCACTGTTAAAAAGGTTTCAAAGTATTTGAGCACTGAATAACGTATACTTAAACATCCATTTCTGATCAAGATTTTCAGTATTCGTCTGAAGATCTGTTGTATGTAGGTTGAAATGAAAGGATAATGATGTCGATTTTTGTAAGATCCAAAACCTGCCTGTTATTAATTTTATGATGTGTGACAGTGGAGCCATGTAAACCTGTGAGTAAAGAGTTGATCTACTTAAAATTGTTTACTTGGTGTTTTATAAACTGCCACGTAGTAGAGGAAGTGCCTGATGCTGCTGCAGGGACTGTCCCAGCAGCTTGTCTGCTTTCAGAGTTGCATTAACCCTAGATGCCTCAAATAGGCTGACCTATCCACACATGTTGTCTTTATGAATAACCTTCACCATCATGAAACTCAAGAAATTCTCTTTAATTTGAGAAATGGGAAAAAAAAACTGCCAGTTGTACACACTTATGGGATGGTAGCCTTCGTAGGAAAAAACTAAGAAATTTGAAGTTTGGATTTTTTCTTTTCCAGTTCAGAATTACGTGTTGCAGTAAATTTTGGAGGACAAATATTAATCAGTTACACAGAAGCTTCTTGACTTACAGTGATATGTCCCAATAAGCCCACCATAAGTTGAAAATATCAGAAGTTGAAAATGCATTTACTGCACCTAAGCTAACAAACATCATAGTTTAGCCTAGCTTACCTGAAACATGCTCAGAACACTTAATATTAGCCTACATTTGGACAAAATCATCTAGCATAAAGCCTATTTTGTTTGCTAAATATTGCGTACAGATGGGATTTTGTAGACATGATGAGATATGAAACACAAAACACAATATTCAAAAAACACTGGCAACACAGAACACTCTAGAGTTCTGGTTGTTTACCCTCCTGTGGTTAACTGGGAGCTGTGGCTAATGGCCGCTGCCCAGCATCGGAGAGAGTATTCTACCACATATTGCTAGCTCAGGAAAAGATCAGAATTTGAAGTACGGTTTCTACTAAATGCTATCACTTTCCCACCATCATAAAAGTTGAAAAATTGCAAGTCAAAGCCATCCTGTGAGGGACCCTCTGTCTATACATTACTGATTCTTGCTGTATTATTTAGCTTTTTGATTACTGTAAAAGGTCACAGAATTAAACTATGTTGAGGAACAATACAAGCTAAAATGTCTTACTTAGGCTCTATCAGCAGTAACGTGTATTGTTAGGTAAGTTCTCTGTAGATGGCAGCATTGGTGAGGTGCATGCTTACTCTATTAGGTTGAGACTTTGAGAAGTATCACTTCATTATCAGAAATTTTTAAGTAAATAAACCTAAAACATAAAAGCAACTACTATTCCAGATATAATTATTAAGAATTAACAGAAGGCTGGGCGCGGTGGCTCAAGCCTGTAATCCCAGCACTTTGGGAGGCTGAGGCGGGTGGATCACAAGGTCAAGAGATCGAGACCATCCTGGTCAACATGGTGAAACCCCGTCTCTACTAAAACTACAAAAAATTAGCTGGGCATGGTGGCGCGTGCCTGTAATCCCAGCTACTCAGGAAGCTGAGGCAAGAGAATTGCCTGAACCCAGGAGGCGGAGGTTGCGGTGAGCCGAGATGGCGCCATTGCACTCCAGCCTGGGTAACAAGAGTGAAAAAAAAAAAAAAAAAAAAGAATTAACAGAGCCAGAGAATGCAGCAGAATGCTCATTGTAGGTATTGGCCGAGTAACTGAAGCCTTCTTTCTTCCAGCACTAGTGATGAAGTTTAACTCAGGTCATTAGTTTCAAGCCTTACTCTCAGCCTTGGGCCAAATCTGTCTGCCACTGTGACTCTAATTCATTAGCAACGCGGTTGTCATTAATATGCTAAGAGAACAGTGCTTCTGATGTTCTACGTTTCTGCTGTGGTTAGCTCTAGAAAGTAGACGATCTCTACCAGAATTAGTGTTTTGTAGGTTCCTCCATTACAATTGTCTGTTGTAAAGTAATGACTCCCGATTGCAAGAAGACTGGACAGTGACCTTTGGGGCGATACACCCTGAGGATGGGTCTGGGAACTCAAGGGGAGCTAAGTTCCCAAGGCTATATCCACCTGAAGCTCTAGATAGTACTTGTGAAGGCAGGTGCTGGCAGCAGTGATCCACATGCAGCCACTGAGACCAAGAAAGATGTGATTACTTTCTTTTGATGGGAAGGACATAGGGTAAAGGGGTTATTTAAGAGTATCAGGCAAAGTAATTTTTCTAAAATCACATTTGAAAACACTGTTTTGTTTATAGAGTTGGTCCTAAAGTTTACAAAAATGATGATATATACACACATTCAATTCTATTTAAAAATATGAATTGGCCGTAATCCTATTCAGGGCTCCATATCCTCGAGAGCAGTTGGTCTTTTGCCCAGTGATTTGAGAAACTGGCATTTGAAAGGCTTTTCTGAGGGAGAAGGGAGCTGCCTCTGGTCCAGACTTGCACTGTGGTTTGGCACATGGAATGACAGAAAGTGGCCTGGCCCACTTGGTGTTGCAGATTTGGTCTGTGTATGCAAATCCTTGTCGTGTTTCAGTTGTCCCACCTTTAGTTTCTCCCTGTTGTTCCAGGTTGAAAGAAAGTTGATAACAAAACCAGATGTATTCCCAGGCATACAAATTGAAGGAAGCCAAACCAAATGAAAGATAATTAGGACAAGAGAAGAATGTGGTAAACTATTTTGGAGCCTTTATTTTATTTTATTTTAATTCCCATTCTACTTACTGTAGTTTCTTTAGGCTAGGGACTTTGCATACTCCTCCCCACTACAATGTAATTTTATTTTATTTATTTATTTATTTTTTTGAGATGGAGTTTCACTCATGTTACCCAGGCTGGAGTGCAATGGCGCCATCTCGGCTCACCGCAACCTCCGCCTCCTGGGTTTAGGCAATTCTCCTGCCTCAGCCTCCTGAGTAGCTGGGATTACAGGCACGCGCCACCATGCCCAGCTAATTTTTTGTGGTTTTAGTAGAGATTGGGTTTCACCATGTTGACCAGGATGGTCTCGATCTCTTGACCTCGTGATCCACCTGCCTCGGCCTCCCAAAGTGCTGGGATTACAGGCTTGAGCCACCGCGCCCGGCCATACAATGTAATTTTAAATAATGCATTTATATGTCACATTTATGTATACATAATTATGTGTATACATTTATACTTTTAAATACATTTGTGTGTCAACTCAATTAAACTAATTATACAGGATCTCTTGCTATATGTATTATTGCTTAGGAACCAAATATATTTCAATAGTAAGGGGTGTGTGTGTGTGTGTGTGTGTGTGTGTATGTATGTGTGTGTGTGAAACAAACAATGTTATAAAACAATGTTTATTCTTCTTACCAGCAATGCACTATAATATGTTCTATTCTGTGCTGTTTGATTTTATCTATTTCATTAAAAAAGGTTGGCTGAACCCATGTGATTTCACATCCCACTAATGGGTTGTGCCTTAGTTTGAAAAGTGCTGTTTTAGGCTATAAATCTGTATGTGACAGATTAAGCTATGAGGCAGAGTCCTTTAAAGAAATTCCCTGTAGAGCATTTGGCAATATTGGGTGGTATCTTTTTGGCACAGCTCTCTAGGGAAAAATTCTCCTATCTTTGCCTCCAGGTCATTATTCAATTTCCCCTTCCAAATATTTTGGAAAAACTCAGGTGTCTCCCCAAGGTCTACTGGGCACACAGTAATCTGAACTGGCTGAGGGTTCCAGGGGCTGTGTTGAGAAGGAACTCAGAGGCCGAGAAGTGGCGTATTCTACATGGTAATGCATACTCTGGCCTCGGGTCATGGTGAGCAAACG